AGCTAAATTGATACAAGCAAAAAAATTTTATGCTAAGGAGACTATTAAATTGAACAAAACAGATCTGGCTATGTTTTTTTTCTCCAAGAATAATTCCGGCTTTTACTATAATCCCAGGCAGCAGATTTATACATTTGGCGGTCCCCTACCGTTGACAGAGTATACTTACAATAAGGAAGACGTTGAGTCTGTAATTGCAGTCGCAAGGCTTTTGGTTTGTTTGACGCTATTGACACTCGCAAAAGAGGAGGCTAACAAAACAACCATGAGCTGCTAATACATTCTGGAAAGGTCCTTGACCTTAAGGATGGCAGCACGGGCATTAATACTCAAATCGTCCAATATGCCGAAAGAAATGCGGATGTGTGTAGTGCGTTCAAATAATGTTGCGGGTATATTCATTTCTCAAATCGTTTTCGAATACTCATTTTTATTTTAGTATAATAGTCAACTCTGGATTTTCGAAGGCGTTGACCAAACACCCCTCAACACCATTAGCGGAGGACGCATCAAAAACAAGAAATCAATCTATATGCTGGTGTCCAAAGCCGTATGTAATTTAAATTGAGTACTAAATTAAAACTTATTTCCGAATCTAACGTACTTTTCTCTCCCAATTCAGCCGGTGGAGAGTGTAAGCTTTATATAAATGATTAGATTCAGAATTTATTATTGTTCTAACCTCATATTTTTATCAAGGTATCAAAATTAATTCAAGTTGCCAAGGAGAATGCTACGTTGTGATACTACAATGAGAAGGACAATACTATCAGCTTGCTCGATAATCCAAACCTTGTCACTGACATTTTGGTATGGTTTTGTAATATCATTGAAATTACTTCTGATTTTTGAGATTATGAAGATCTAATCCTAGCTGTGTTTACACGGAATGCATCTCCGGATAATGGCACCCCGGCCATCATATATCACTTCACCGGTGTGGCGAACCAACACTTCACACTTCGTTTTGAGCAATGGCTACGAAATTAGTTACTGAGTGGTCATAACAATAACTTGATTTATATTGTTTTTTGTTTTTTTTTTCATTAGTTTAACATTGTGGTTGATATATTGAAAAAATAAAAAATTAGATTCGTAAACAGTAGACTGTGTTTTGTAAACGCCAGCTTTAGGTTACTATAAATTGGACATTTGCAATTATTTTCATGAGAAATAGTCAAGATTTGCTCTGAGTCAAAAAATGCTTTGTTTGTCCACGTACTATTAAAATTTTCCTGGAACTACGTCGTTTTAGATGGTTTTTATAAACATGTTATACACTAGTTAATATGAAATTCTTGTTTCGAAATCAATCGCTCCTATGGCAAGTCACATGTTGACGTGACATTTCCCCACACTGAATAACCTCGACCTTTTCTTCTCTCTTAGTTTGAGGATGATCTTTATTTAAAGGTGGAGTATCTTAACCCCTGTAATAAAGTGTCGTTATTGAACTTGCAGACTAACTTCATTCCAACATTCCCTTTTTTTACTATATTAATATTATTATCGTCATTAAAATAGCGATGAATTCTTTCCGTTTCACAATTACATTTAGTAACAAAGCTATTATAAACGGGATCAAACTCAAACCCTGAGAAAAAAAAAAAAAGGCAATGCTTCAGCTTTGATCATTTTCCGCAACAAAAATCCATTACGTAAATCACGTGAGTTGCACTTAAAAGTGCTTGCATTTAGAGGGAAATTGCACTTATGAGGTTGCATTTATGGAGGTGTCACTGTATATTGATTATGATACATGGTTTATTGTTTATGCGATTGTAAAGTGTAATTTCAGAGAATGAAGATTAATGTGAAGGTAACCGAAATAAAACGTACGGCTTTGAATGCTTTCATGTCTGCCGCAATGGCTTCAGTCTCTTTCTGCGTTTGAACAGTCAATGTAAAGTTCAAGCTATCGAACTCTTGGCGTAATTCGTCAAACCGGCAGCATCTTTTCAAACCTGTTTTTGAGAATGATCAATATCAGTAGTTTTTTTTTACACAACTCCAGACTCTTTCATTAAAGAGTCCGTAAGTCTTCAATTCAATTTGTCAACGGCAGATACAAACGTGATAGTTGATAAACGTCTTTAACAAATCCCTAATCTTCTTGATAGTTTCCACGAATTTCGTAAAAATTCCGATGACCGCAATTCCATTTCATAATTTCCTTGCTTTTAATTGAAGACACTTGACTGCAATCTCTGCTAGTACAGCTCGATCGAGCAACGGATTGCAAGTGCGCTTATCATGCTCTACCCGTTGATACATATTTATGATGATCTCATTCACCAAGACAGTTATTGTGTTGGCTAGAGGAACGAACTGAGAAATGCATTCGGCAACATTGGCAGCGCCGCGAGACTGAACCTGCAGCCGATAGACTTTTCACCCCCCCCCCTTTTTTTTTTCCCTTTGATTAAAGTGTTGTAATGGTTTCTTATTCTTGCTTTCATGCTCCGAGGTTTCAAATTTTTCCCACAAAGAATTTGTTATAACATTAATTAATATTATATTTGCATTTGGGAGGCAATCATTTCGCCGACAAATGTTTACCAACATTATTTCGAAATTATCCTTTTTAGGTATTAATTGTCGGCGAAATGATACGGACCCATAGCATTTTGCGTTGTATATCCATATTCATAATGTCACGAAAATCAAAACAAACCCACAGATTTTATTGGTATTGGCTGTAACCAAATTACTACCCTAATGTCGAGTTTTACGCTCCCCAACACGGATGTGAAACTTCCCGAAGACATCCTACAAACTTTGCAACACCGCCAGCATTCATTCATTCTTGTCAACAATATGTATACTTCAATGGCGAAAACATAGATAGATTTTCCTATCGCTATGGTTTCGTGCGCGGTCTGTTTGCGGATACATACTTTACAGTGGCTAACTACAACATTCGCTTTTGCTGCCACGCGTATGTTCTCGCACGAACTCCATTTCTCCTCGATCAAATGCTCAACTCATCAATTAGAGGCGAAATATCATTGGACATAACGGTAACATAACATACGAATCCATCTGCTTTGTAATTGGACATTTATACGGTACCGAAGGGGATGTATTACTGACCTTGCAATCATGCACCGGGGGTATTAGCATTTGCATACATGATGGATGTGAAAGACATATGTGAGAAAGCATGTGAAATAATCAAACAAAAAATAAATGAAGAAAATGTCGAAAGGTTTGTGAAGTTTGTAGAGGGAATGAAATATGGGAAATATACGGAGAAAATTGAACGTGCAGTGGAGACGTATTTGACAGTGGAGTTGGGTGGTAGAGGCTTTCATCAGCCTTTTGAAATAGACAATCAGAAACAAGAAAGTCAATAGACAGTAACTGCGAAGCGTGGAGGAATGGTCATATGAGTTGTTGGGAGAAGAATTATTGTGTCAACAAGACAGGTTTCAAGGGGGGTTTGTAGTAATATTTCATCAACATTTACAACCTCGAATTCGTCCACTACGTTGTCAGGGACGCATACCAACCCAAGGAGCTAAATACGCAAGATCCGCTACATTCCGAAACCACTAGTTTCAAGTCATCCTTCCCCCTCACAAATATTCTATGACGGTCGACATCAGCCTATTCGCAATCCTCTTTTTTCTCCAAAGCCTTCTCTTAAGCAAACCTCATCTGCAAGAAGTCTGTACAATGGTGTTCTAATCTACATGATGTCCGTTATCTACGTACTGCCAATCGCGTAATTAAACCTGGATACGTTGCGTCAATATTACATATTATAATACAATAACTGAGACAGTACGACCATTCAATTCTTGCGTACCTTGTCTGAATCTAACTCATAAACGTCATCAATGGACAAGCGAAAGAAGGCATTAGTGTCAATATGTATGCATTTCTTTGTGCCATAACCCAATCAAATATGTTATAAATAAGTTCAAAAGTGACCTGGTTCGTTAAAAAATGGCTGAAAGTCGCTTCAATTTATTACCGACGTGGTTAAATATGAACAACTACTTGACGATTTAAATTATTATAAAGTTGAGGAAGATAAGCAAGTCGAGGAGATTAAAAATGGCATACATGTTTATAACGAGTTGCAAAACAAAAATTTCGAAAACAAAAGGAGGCAACTGTATAATCAAATCGGCATATTATTTCATCTTGGTCAAACACAAACCTGATCTTCTTTTGATCTCATAAATTCAATTAATGATAAATTTAAGTCATTCGGAGACCTGGACGAAATTTTGTCGACAGTCGATACTAAAATCAGGACGCTGAACGAAGTTACGGCACAAGACCTGTTTTCAAACGACAATCTTATACAGTTTAGCGGGAAATTTTAAATACGCGAAAATGCTTCAAGACATTACTAACTATACAATGCGTATGAAACAAAAAGTAACGCTTAAAGCAATAAAAGATGTTCTAGAAGTCTACAAGGAGTTTGACGATAAATATGAATCGAAAAAAAAGATATTTGAGAGAACAAATACTGTTGTTATTTCTTTTTATGAGAATGCATTTTGATCCGGATAATAGAAATTATTTAGACACAATTTTTTCCAGTTTTTACTGTTCGAAGTTCGAGGAAATGTCGCGTACTAAAAAAGATTGACAAGATAATAGTCTCAATAAAAAACTGAAACTCGAATTCGAACTCTTGAATAACTGGCGGGGACAAAATAAAGTCTGATTGAATAGTGGCCAAAGTGATATTTTTGCCATATCAATAACCAATGTCACGGTTACAGAATATGTAAGTTTCAAAATGCACAGCATTCGTATTCGTGAAAAAGCGTTTTCGATTGATCTGCTCGCTCATATACCTATTTTGGTGTATATATATCCATCGAGTTTCACTGCGTATATCTCAAACCACATGTAACATTTGTCAATTTTCTAAACATAATTTGTTAACGTTTATCAAGAAGAACAAAAATGGCGTTCTTAAATTTTGAATTATTAATACAGTAATGCTTGTGAAATGCATCGATTTTTGTTTGATGCGTATTTTTTTTTATAATTTAGAACTTTATTGCCTAACTGCAGATAAACTGCTAAAGCTAATTTTAACATATATGTAAAACATACAGAGGTACAATAAAGAGCTTGGCTAAAAAGCCTGGAATGAAAGTGTTTGATGCGTATTTGTGTCCCCCACCATTCGGAGGTTAGATTTTGCGTAACATATTATGGAAAATCACATGTATTAGAAACAGTCAGTTAACTCACATATTGCTCCTGATGGCCCTCACTGCCCTTGGTGCAAAGGCACCCTCAACTCAATCTCTCACCTTTTTCAACAGTGTCCAATTGCCAATGCAATATGGAGTATTACCACTAGCATGGCACAACTTCTCACTCCCTCTAATACTAACTTTTCTTTCAACTATCTTATTCATACCAGAAATGATTTCAAACAGCGATATGCACATCTTCTCCAATCTGCTGCTATCCAGGCTATCTGGTTAGCATATACCAAATATAATAGTTTTTTTCCATGCCTCAGGAAAAAAAAAAGAAAACGAATGTTAATTCTGTGACTTATAAACCGGCTATGAAGTAATTTTTAAAATGCGATTGGAGCGGTTTAGGTCCAGGTGACAAGGAGTCCCCAGACTTCCGAACTTGAGTGACAAGGAGTCCCCAAGCTGCCGCCGATCTGGAACATATGAGTGACAAGGAGTCCCCATATGTTTGGAGGAAGTGACAAGGAGTCCTTCCTCACCTCAGATACTTACACCCCTCGAACGTGAGAAGTGCTATCCCTCGGAGATATCAAATTCTGACAGATGAATTCAACCGAGTTACTTACTTTCCAATTATCATTAATTTTTCTCAAAAAACACTTTGCACTCTCGTTAATGGAGTCAGACTTCAGAATATCCGTAACATCCTTCCTTATATAATCGTATATTTTGGCGTACGTATCGTTTGGCATTTCTTGCAGATAACAATCAAACACATCGTCAGCGGTTACAGAACTGGCAAGCACGTCGGGCCGGGAAAGAAGCCTGAAAAGAGGACTTCCGGATGTTGCGCTCTCTACGAGAAACATATAGTTAGTCAAACAAAAGCGGCTTATCCCAAATATAAATTCTCATACTTTGCTTTCGTGGAGAAAAATTTTTTTTTTCGTACGCTAATATGATTAAATCGCTCGCTATGCTCTATCCTACGCCCAAATGCCGAGCCACAAAGTCGTTACCTGTATAAGTGCTTGCTAGCGCATTTTGCAGCTTCTGCACCTGTGCTTCCCACCGGTCTCTTCTCTCCTTCAGTTCCTTTCGCTCGCCTTCCAGCTCAGCCCTCTCGCCTTTGAAAGCTTCTAGTGATCCTCTCTGCAACGCGTCAAACCTTCTCGCCTTGTCTCCCTCCTCGAACCTTTCCAGCTTCTCCTCCACCTTGTTATACTCCTTGTTCGCTCTTTCGATTCTCTCGACGCGTGACCATGGAGTGTGGAAATTTTAAACGAATGGATCACGTGGTGATAGATCACAGATTTTATTTGTTTTGCGTAAGCGACCAAAAAAGAGGGAGCAGTCGGCTCCTAGACCTGCCTTGAAAGGCGAAAACTGTCCCTTTTCTTTGGGCTCGCTCAAGTATTAATTTTTGTAATCCTCCTCACCATAATTTCTCCTTTTGTTTTCTACCCAATAGTTACCCCAGGAATTGAAGAAATATCACCCAGAGTAAGAGGGTAAATGGATGCCATCTCTGTTAGATAGTGATGAGGTGAAAGATATGCAAGGGCCAATACTCTATTGAAAGACCTGGCAAAGCACTCTCAACAACATGTAGTTAGCAATACTAATACAGTTATCACACATCCACCATGCAAACCTGATGCAGGTGTCTTCAGTTCTGTGCAGACACAATCACTTTGGTCATTGGTTATTATTATCTGGGTTATAGAGTTAAAAAACAACCTATCAAAACTTGGCAATTGCAAGAATGGTATTGGAGAAGTAATTAACTGCTTGGAGCTTATTCTCAAGCATCAGCCTGGTTGTAATTTTGCAGTTGGTGCATTAACAGACTTGCATGCTTTGATGTTTATTGTTGCTAATTGATCACATGGTCGAATACATATCACTTTTCTGAATCCGTGTCTCTGAAAGAAAGAGGAATCTCAATACTTTATCAACTCCTTCAAGCAGAGCCAGGGCATCTTGGGTGTGCTCAACACATATTTAATATTACCAGCCTCAATTTGTCTGGAAAATAACATAAGATTAACTGAGCTAGGAATAATCCGTCATGGTTATGGCTGCAAAGCATGGGTGATTTCTGGTGTAGTGACATAGACATCAACAGTATGAACAACGTGACCAGAGTGTTTGTATGTCAGATCGGAATTTATGTCAATTCCGAAGTGATATATGTCAGATCAGAATTTTATATCGCTTATTAAAAA